CTGCTTAGCTTCTGAGATCTGACAAGATTGAGCTAGCCTGGCCCATCCAGGTCAGGGTTGTAACTTGGCCGTTGCTTTAATTCTCTAGCTTGGCCACCACCTAGGGCCGGCTCGCTCACTAGAAGAACTAGGCGTGGGCCTAGAGCGTGCCAGCCCTTAGGGGCGCCAAACTGCACCTGGGCCCCCCTGCAAAAAGCCTGGGCCAGGGATGCTACAATCCCCCCTTCCCTTCCCTCCCCTCCCACCCGACCTGCGCAGCACTGCGCTCTGGCTTCCCTGCCCGTCTGCCTGCCTCTAGCTCAGCCACCCAACGGCGCGCCACCTGGCCCTTTTGAGGACACGGTGCCTGTCAATCAAGCGCTCATCCTCCCCGCGCCCCATTGTCAGCCCAGGGAGGCTATTTTAAGGCCGCAGGGTGCGCGTTGACTGCCACTGGAAGCCGGCCAGGCCCGGGTGCGCTCCGAATTGGGGCTGCACGGCGGCGACGGCGGCTGGGGGATGGTTGCCTCTAAAGATTATTTTTTTGGGGGGTGGGGAAGGAATCCCTTCCCCGCCTCCTGCTGCACCCTCTGCCCTCGCTTCCTGCCTTTCTCTCAGTCCGGAGTCTCATCATGGAACTTCTTTGCGGGCGCATTGAGAGGCACGCGGTGGCGCGGGGGGGGAGACAAGGTGAGGGGGGCGTCACAAGGCAGCCTCGCCAGGGGGGGCACTAGTTTCACCTAGAGCGCCGAAAAACCTCGGTCCGGCCCTGCCACCACCCCTACTATATTTTGCAGACCTTCACACATCAAGGCTCAGGACTTGGAGGAAGCACTGCAGAGGGCGTTCTGTACATGCACAGATCTTTTCAATGCTATTTGAGTCTGAGAGAGTAGCTGCACTGGTCTGCAGTGGAACAGATTTGAGTCCAGTAGCACCTCAGAAAGCAACAAGATGTGGAGAAGAGGAGACTGGATTTATACCCCGCCCTTCACTTGGGAGTCTCAGAGTGGCTTACAGTCTCCTTCCCCTCCCCCTCCCCACAACAGGCACCCTGTGAGGTAGGTGGGGCTGAGAGAGCTCTTTCAAGAACTGCTCCTGAGAGAACAACATTGAGAAAACTTGTGACTGACCCAAGGTCACACCAGCAGCTACATGTGGAGACGTGGGGAATTGAACCCGGTTCTCCCAGATTAGAGTCTTAACCACTACACCAAACTGGATCAAAAGAATCAAAGATCCCAAGCTTTGTCTAAAGCTTATGCCCTAAAAACTCATTGGCCTCTAAGGTGCCACTGGACTCAGATCTAAATATTTTTTAATCTGCAAACTGATATCGTAAACTGACAGTGGTATGTTTTTACAGCCTATGTTTTTATTTTGTATGCTACCTGGGGCAGGGTCCTGGAAAAGTGGCACAAGCATTCTCTGATTGAATAAAATAGGACTGGCACCCTTGGGTCGCAAACACATTTCTTCCTTCCCCTCTACCCAAAGCTCAAATAAGACTCTAAATGCCAGTGAGGTGGCAAGAAGGAAACTAACACTCAGAAAATGCAAGCTTGCCTCTGGATACGGATTCAGGCTCCCCAGCCACTGGAGGCAGACGCTGTCCCAGAAGGCAAAGCGGTACAGCTCCATTCTAGCTCCACCCAACCACTCCAGCCTGCCCGTCAATTCCATCCAGCAGGCAGTCCAGGGGCCTTGACCGTGGACTGAAATCCCTGCCCTCCCCTCCTCCGTCTCTGTCTGATGGACAGTTCTAGATTAATTGGAAAGCTTGCACGCACCCTGCTCATTGTTATTTCTGGTTGGTCTTCATAAAAAAAGCCTATTGGAGGTAGCTTCGCTTAAGGGATTTCGTTTTCGACTGACATGGCTTGCCTGCAACCTCGGCCAGGTTAGCGACACCTAAAGCATTTAGGAGGACTATTTAGCAAAAAAAAACACACAACAACCCACCATCTAAACATATTTTGGTATCAACAGCAGCTTCTTTGACAGACGTTTCTGCCTCCCCAGGCAGACCAGCTTTGCTTTCTGGAAGTGGATGAATCCTGCTCCTATCTGCAGGAAAGTGACTGAGCAGAAACGCTTTTCAGTCTGTTGCCATTTGCAGCACACAAAAAAAAAACCCCAAACAAACCCCACAACGATCAGTACTTAACGAGTACATTTTCACTGTTACTTTTTGAGCAGCTCTTATGAGCACAGCCGAGCGCAGGCCTGTATTTCTGAAGTGGCAAAGCGACTGTTCAGACAGCTGCCAAGGCGCGGCGGGGGGGGGGAGTGTTCTCAACTCAAAAGGACGGTTTGGAGACGGACGAAGCCCCACACTGACTGAACATCCAAGACAGGGGTTCGGAGACAGTACATGCACGCTGTCTGGAAACCTCTGACAGTAAGGAAGGAAGGAAGGGAATGCTGGTGGAACACGCTCCCTATTGAGATCAGGACCCTGTGGGAACTCCTTCAATTCCGCAGGGCCTGCAAGATAGAGCTGTTCCGCCAGGCCTTTGGCTGAGGCAGTGGGCGCCCATATATTACCCCCCCCCCCCCGGTTGCTGTCACCCACCCACTGATAACTGGCCATTATTTCATCTGTACCAACGGGCAAGAATCTTTCACAGCCAGCTGATTTTTTGCTGTTAAGCTCTAACCACTGATTTTAATGTTTATACTGTGTTTTAAATTTTAATTGTATTTATTGTAACATGATGCTTTCTGCCCTGAGCCTGTTCCCAGGATGGGCAGGATATAAATACAATATGCAAACAAACAAATGGACACTTTCCCAGGTTTGTAACAGAGTCTTGGGGCGATTCTGCATTGGCTTTGCCCTCCGTTGTTTTACCAAACCCACCTTGGAACAGAAATCCCCCCCTGCATTACACGCCACTTTCACTTCCTTTGATCGTCGGGTTTTATGGTCCCCTCCACCAGTGTTACCTCTAAGCTGAGTTAGTGTGAGCTAGCTCACGGCTTTTTAGCCTCTGGCTCACAGATTTTTGTCTCGGCTCAGGAAGGAGGGCTCCAGAGCAAACTAATTTATGCAGCAGCCAAATAGCTCGCTCACAACTTTAAGGCCAGTAGCTCACGAAGTAGAATTTTTGCTCACAAGACTCCACAGCTTAGAGGGAGCATGCCCTCTACACTGCATGCCGCTTCCGCTTTCTTTGATCGTCGGGTTTTATGGGACCTTCTGCATAGATTTATGGCCGTTCAGGGGTGACTTTGCAGTCAGTATGGCCTTGCCCCGGGGGTATTTGAATGTGGTTCTGAGCTGCACCTTTTCCCTCAGTGTTGGAGCGAGTGCCAGATGCAGAATCGCCCTCACAGCCAGCTACAGCCTCTGTCGCGCAAGGTCCGCCACAGCAGAAGTGAAGCTGGCAATGGAGCCGAGTGCCAACGCTGCCCCACCTTAAGATGTCTGAACAGAGCTCTTGCCCCGGACTGCTGCAGCCACAAGACAGGCAGTTCTGTTCTTTGCAAGACAAGCAGTTCCATTCCAAGCCTTGGCTAGAGGTCGAGGCCGATAAAGCACACACACACACACTCTCTCTCTCACTCTATCTATAGCTAGTCGCAGAGCATCAACAAGGCCCTCTTTAGAAACCAGATTTTGCCCCGGTTTGTCACGAGGCCACTTAAGAGACTGCCACAGTTCTTGCCACCCTCCAATTCGATGTCATCTGAAACTAGAGAGGCCCAGTGGTGAGACTGCTGTACACTGGTGGACCAAGGCTTTGAGAGAAGTGCAGCCCTCTGAGCGTGGCCTTCTAAGCAGTCAGTGCTTGCAACATTGACAGGCCCATGCCGGTTTCTCTGGGGGAGCTGCTGTGTTACAGTGACGCATTTGGTGCCAGGAAGGTAAAGACAATTCAGCTTTCCTGCAGGGAAAGCCCCATCACCGAATCTAGCAGCTGAACAGGCCCCGCTGCAGATGATTTCTGCCCACCTGAGACGGCCTTCCGCCATGCAACGCCCATTTGCTTCTTGCATTTCTTTTGCAGGAGAAACTCAAGCCTTCCCTAAAGACATTACGCAAAGGTCTACTGCTGCTGCTAATAACGCCAATGCCTTGAAGTATTTGCAGCTACCAAGCTGGACCTGCAAGAACTCCTCCACAGCGTCGTACACAGAATCACGGCCTGCTCCTCTCTCAGCACCTGTAATTTTTGCTTCAGAGAGAATTTCATTTATCTGGAGAGGCTCACAAACCCGCTTACCCTCTGAAGAGCACCAAATTTTTTCAGCCTAGCTGGGCCTCTCAAAAAGTTTTGCCTCTCTGCGGTTTTCTAACGTGCAATGCTTTAGCGATAGGGCAGGGCAGCTTAACAGGAAGGGAGAGGCCATTAAATGCTGCCCCTACAAAGCTTGGATTCAAGGGAGATTAAGAGCTGAGCATCACCACATCCAGAACACCGACGCAAATGGAACGGGAGCTCTACCCTTGGGGCTCTTGAGACGCAGAGTCGCCTCCAACTCGCCCAGTTGGATTTCAAGGCCTGCGGTTCTAACAGTGACACCAGGAAACCTCTATATGGAGCCTGACTTCCGTCCGACAGTATCCTTCTATGAGCACCCCTGCAATGGCAAGAAGTTGATTCTCCTCACCACTCACACAACACAACACAAGTCCGAGATGCAAGCTCATTCCGGAGACTTTCGACCTGAGCTGGGAGCCCTACGAGAGCATCGCCGAAGAAAGATGGGAACAACGCTCCTTCCCCGTCTCCACCCCTTCCCCCCAATAAACATCAATCATTACGATCACCGAATTTTGTTATTCGAAACTTGTCTTTCTGTTAGTGGTGCTCCCAGCCCCTCCCCTTCCCGGTTTCTGCTCAGCTTCCCAACCTGCCCTGGGAACCCAGTGAGAACAAGCCGTCCACAGCCAGCGGCACCTGGTTTTTTCGGTGGGGGCACCTCCTGGTTAAAAAGGGGGGGGGGGGGGGGAGAGAGAGAAAAGAGAAGCCATCCAGCAACTGTTGCTGTGCGTCAGCAGACTCATCGCTCACCAGACTGCTTGCTGGGCTGGGTTGCAGCATCTGAGTCCTGGTTGCTCCACGGCCTGTCCCACCCTGGCAGGCTGAGGGACTGCAGTCCGAGGCACAGGTCGTTGGTATCCGGGAGGCTGCTTGGAGACTCCTGCGCAGAAGGTGGGAACAGCATCCTGCTGGCGGCCGCTCCCTCCGAGAACTGGAAGTCTGCCCGAGAAAGGAAGAAGGAAGAAGGGGGTTGGGGGGGGGGAGAGAAAGAGAAACACATAGACACACAAGGCACAGGAGTTTAGGAGTTTCCCAGAGAGGAGGCTTACGGTTGTCCTGCAGCCGCCCTATCCTGCCCCAAAGGAGGGGAGAGGAGAGTACCATATGGGCTCCCGAGCAGACCCACCTTCCGCCCCTCCTGCCCCGAACCCGTACCCACTGCCCGGGCCGGCATGTGACCGGGCTGCTGATGCTTACCGTGTTGCCAGAGACGTCACGCAGCAGCCGTGCGAGAGAGCCACATCTTCGTTGACAGGACAGAAGGGGAGGGCAAGGCTGCCCATGGGAGTTAAGGCAGCATGCGGGAGGGGAGAGGTGCGGCCACAGGCAGTGTGTGTGTGTGGGGGGTGGGGAGTTAAAGTGGGAGCTATCGCTTTGCTAGCAGCGGCACAGGGAGGTGGCCGAAAACCGCCATCCCCTCGGCAATAGCTACAGCAGCAACAGCCAGCCAGCCAGCGAGCAAGAGAGAGAGAGAGAGAGAAATCACGCTGTGGGCTTGGAGCTACCCAGGCGTCCTGGCCCTGCCCACCCGCTCTCTCCACCCACAATTCCCCCCCTCCCAAAAAAAACGCCCTTTAGCCCTGGAATGGTTCCAGCTGCTGGCGCAAGCCCTGGAAACAGCTCAATGCAAAGCAATTCTGCTAGCATAATCTGTTTGCTTAAAAATGAATAAATAAAAAGGGCAGAACTTGGCTGCTGTGCCCCCTTCACAGATCCTGCATTGTTTACCACTAAGCAATATGGATAACCTTCAAAAACAATAAAGGATCCTGAACTCTGTGCAAATGGGGGAGGCGGGTATAGATGCCAAGGCAGCCAGTCCTGGACGGGCACGGGACTCGGGATGGAGCCCACACCCAAATCTTAGGGATTTTTTAAAAATAAAAAGAACAGTATTTAAGAAGGCAGTAACAGGTATTGCACACACAGGAATGAAGCATCATTAGACTGGGCCTACAGATACTGAGCTAATGGACATTTGTACAGGAAAGGCATTATAGCTGCAAATCCCAGAATTCCAGCATAATGCAGAAGGAAGCTAGAACTTGCCTTCCTTCTTTTGGAGCCTCTGTCATTAAAATTTGCTTTCATGTTGTAATGCATTTTTATATTCATAGCTCTTCTAATGTTGGAGGAGAGTTTTATGGATACCGTGGACCATCAAAAGGATATATCAATGGGCTGGCTCCAGATCAGGGGTGGCCAAACTGCAGCTCGGGAGCCACATGCGGCTCTTTCAGACATATTGTGCGATTCCTGGCAGGGTGGCTGGGGAAGCAAACGGGAAGCACGCTTTTTCTCCCTCCCTCCCATCTATTTGCTTTCTTTGTTTCACTCTCTCTCTTTCTCTTTTTCTTTCCACCTATTTCATTCTTTCTTTCCACCTCTCTCTCTCTTTGACAACTAAAATATCATTGGACAAATAGATATCGTTATCGATATCTGCTTTTACCCCTTTTGTTTTTGCTTCTGGCAGTCTCATTTAATGTTAATAAAAAGCAACTCTGCATATTTTTAAATAAAAACGTGTAATATTTGTTCCGTGTCTCGAACACGTGACGCTTATTCTATGTGGCTCTTAACGCTGAGCAAGTCTGGCCACCCCTGCTCTAGATCAAACCAAGCCTGAACTCTCCCTAGAAGTTAAGATGACTAAACTGAGTATTGTACTTTGGTCGCCTTATGAGAAAACAAAAGACAATAATACTAGAAAAAGCTGAAGGTAGCAGGAAAAGAGGAAGACCCAACAGGAGGTGGATTGACCCAACAAAGGAAGCCTTCAGTTTGCAAGACCGGAGCATGGCTGTTAACGATATAGGGCATTTTTGGAGGCTGTTAATTCACAGGGCCGTCATAAATCATAAGTGACCCGATGCGTTAACACACCCAGTTCTATTGCATTGTTCACTGGATGCCCTGTACTGTACGATTACATTTCTTTCTGCGCTCCGTAATCCACCATACACCTCAGTGAGAAAAGATAGTCTATCAATAACTTTCAACAAACCAAATAAAACAGCACTGGGCATCCAATCAGAATTACTAGTCTAACCAGATGAACACGTCAGCTGGACCGCCAAATGGAAACTTTTTTAAAAATGAGACTTCTTTCTCTATACCCCCCCCCAAGCCAACTCCAAGTCCAAGTCCTGGCACTGAAGACATGTTGTATGAAATAATGGCTTGAAATAATGGCGTTTTCCCACCCTCCAGCCTGGTAAGAAGGGCAACTGATGCCGACTCTATCCAAAACCACCTATAAACACCTACCTGGCATTCTACCAGGGGGTGACGAAAGGCCTTAAGGACAGGGCCTGAAAAAAAATCCCTCCCCTTCCACTACCTTGTGTTTTAACCTAGGGTTGCCAGCCCCCACTGGTGATCTGGGATTACAACTGATCTTGCAGGCGACAGATCAGTTCTCCTGGAGAAATGGCGGCTTTGATAAGTGTGCTATATAGCCTTACAATCTGCTGAAGTCTACCCCCCAAAAAAATCCCCCCCAGGCTCCACCACCCCAACCAAATCTCCAGATTATTTCTCACCCAGACCAGGAGCTCTAGTTTTAACCTCAAGTCATAGGAAGCTTTCCAGAAACATTGCACACAGTTGTGTGTTATTAACTGGCTGGTCTTAACAACAGGTATAAAATGGGATAATGCAATAGGATGGCCCAGAGCAATTCAGCAGCTCTGCTGAAGATTCCAAGCATGAGTTCTTACGAAGCGATTACTTGAGGTTATAGCTAGGCCTGGATGAAAGATGGCACTTTCATGCAAGCAGAGACATAAGAGTTGTATTTTTTTTTAAAAAAAAACAAAAACCCCCAAATCCTTGCAAGAACCCTGTGAGGTAAGCAAGCACTAAAAGAAGAGTTGGTTTTTATACCCCGCTTTTCCCTACCTGAAGGAGTCTCAGAGCAGCTTACAATTGCCGTCCCTTCCTCTCCCCACAACAGACACCCTGTGAGGTAGGTGGGGCTGAGAGAGTTCTGAGAGTACTGTGACTGACCCAAGGTCACCCAGCTGGCTTCATGTGTCTCAGAGTGGCTGACAATTGCCTTCCATTCCTCTCTTTACAACACGCACTTTGCAGGTGGGGCTGAGAGTTCTGAGAGAACTGCGACTGACCCAAGGTCACCCAGCTGGCTTCAAGTGGAGGAGGAGTGGGGGAATCAAACCCAGTTCTCCAGCTTAGAGTCCGCCACTGTTCACTACACCACAGTACTCTTCTGTACTGCTGGACAGAAAGGGACAAATGGAGGTTAGCAATTTGCCTTAGTGAGCTCATGGAAGACAAAAATCGAATGGAGGGACTTGTGGGTTCGTACCTCACTAAGGGCCTAACCAGAGGTGAAGTTATACTCACATGTAGTTCAAGGCACTTTTACCTGATGTTGCTGACCTTGTAACCCTCCTCCTCCTCCACCACCACCACCACCCCAGTCCCTCTCCTTACCCAGCAGTAGGGTCTGGACTGCCATGGGGTGTGCCCCACAAGAGGGAGAACTCAGCAGGGAAGCATTCGGCCTTCTCAGCTACTAGCTGGAGACACATTCAGCAGTGAGGTATAACCAAGAATGCCGTGTAGATAACAGGCACCCAGATCTATCTGCTAAGCTCTTATCAGTCTGTCAACCGCTACATTACACCACAAGCCCCACCCCACCCCCAAATCACAGAATGCAGCTTCTCAAATCTCCGCTTCCAGCTAGAAACAAGAGAGAGAGAGAGAGAGAGACAGAGAGGAAGAAACAATCTCCTAGCCTTACTGTTGCTAAGATATGCTCGAATGTGTGGGCTACACCCAAGGAAGGCTCAAAGCCAGAGAGAGTAAGATTTCTAGTAGTTGCGAGGCAGCCCTTAAAGGGGCTAGCTCCAACGCTTTGCCCCTCCAATGGAAGCAAAATTCTGCAAAAATAGCAGGGCCCTTGGAACTAAGAAGCCAGCCCTGACTTGGATAGCCCGGGCAAGCCCAAACTCAGAAGCTAAGCAGGGCCAGCCCGGGCACGTACTTGGAAGGGCAACCTCCAAGGAATACCAGGGCCGGGACGCAGAGGCAGGCAATAGCCAGGCACCTCTCTGAAACGTCCAAGCCCCACTAGGGGTCACCAGAAATCACCATGACATCCAGGCTTGCAAGCGCGTACACACACACACACAAAATACCCCCCCCAGGAACTAAGAAGCCATGCAAATTTGCTTGATCTAGATCAGGGGTGTTGAATTCATTTGTTATGAGGGCCGGATCTGACATAAATGAGACCTTGTTGGGCCGGGCCGTGTGTGTCATAAAATGTAATGCCAGGTAGCAAAGATATAAACTTCATCAAGGACACGAACACAAAGGTGTTTTTTTTTTTTTTTTTGAAAGCTGCAAAACACAGCAGCAGCAGAACTGGAAGAAGGAGAAGACAGCCAGTTCCACTGCAGGCCTGATAGAAGCCCTCTGGGGGCCTGATCCAGCCCCCGGACCTCATGTTTGACACCCCATATGTAGATCATTTTAACAGAGTACTGGACTGTGTCTTGGTTGACACAGAACTCTGACCTGAACGCAGAGGGCATGCAATCCTGATTTACAGTTACATCCATACAACCTTGCTCATCTTCTAACACTATATATGCCATTAAATGTCAACAGCAGCCTTCAGTTCTCTACATAGGGCAAACAGGTCAAGTTCTAGGCCAAAGGATAAATGGACACAAATCTGACATCAAGAATCACAAAACTGAGAAATCTTGTAGAACATTTCTACCTTGCCAGGGCACTCAATGTTTTATTGCAAAGGAATTTTAAAAACAGGCTAGAATGGGAGATTGCTGAATTACAAGTTATTACAACATTCAGGAAAATGGAACCCCCAGGGCTTAACAGAGATATCAGTTCTTATCTCACTACACATACTAATTCAATCAATTCTCGCTTATACCCAGAATTAAACTTCATTGGTCTTAAAGGTGCCACTGGACTCAAACTTAGTTCATTCAAACAACTTGTAAAGCAGTCCTGGACTACAAGCCCCTTTCAAGTAACAGCCTCTTGAATTCAGTTCAGAAGTCACAACCAGGCTGGGGCTTGGCTGGGACAGCGTGTGTGTTCACAGACACACTTTCCACCTTTTTGTCCCATTGATGGCTACAGCTTTGTCTGAACTGCAAGAACTGTATTAATGAAAAAGAGGTTGCCTTCAAACTAGAAACAACAGAACGAGAGAAAAGTGTGTAGGATAAAGCCCGTTCAGAATGGCTAAGCTGTAATATGACCAGTAAAACCTGAGTTGGGTAAACTTGTGCATTGCCCAGAAATGCCATATGCATATTTGGGAACTACCACGGACCTCTACCTAAGCCTTCAAAGAATTGTCTCATGCACCAGAGAATGACAATTCCATTAGAATGCAGAGCAGAGAAGAATGCAAGGACACATTTCCCACCTGGTCATGTAAGCTCACT